CGCCAGCCTCGCTCAGCCCCTCGCAGAATCCCGGAATCGCTGAGGTTGGAGAAGCCCTTTCACATCAGCCAGCCCAACCATTAACCCCACGCTACCAACTCCACCACCAAACCAGTTAAGGGTCAAGCAGTAATTTCATGTGTCCTGGCTTGGTGGCTGCATTAGTTTTTAATGCAAGTAAAAGCTCCGTGGCTCTGCCTCTGGCTTCAGCCACGCCATGCCACCAGGAGAGGCACAGCTCTCGTCCGGCAGAGCGGAAAGCAGGAACGTCGTGCTCTGGCCTCAGGAGCCCGTCTGCGTCAGTGCGGCAGGAGCTCTTTCTGCCCTTTGCCCTCGCACAGACCGCGAGATGCTCCCCGTAAGAGCTGCAAGGCGGGCGCAGAGCACCGCGAGCGCAAATTCATGGCTGCCGCTGCGATAAGGAGGGAGAGCAGGGCAGCGTACGCAAAGTTCGGAAGAGATGGTGCGTACGTTGCTACTGTCAGTGAAACACTGACATTAACTCATGCCTTTTCTGCAAAAGATGGTGCAAAAAACGTACTAACATACAACAGCAGTTTGCTTCTCCAGTTAGCCTTCTGCTGGGATATGAATTACATCTGTATGTAGATCCCATTTTTAGTCGCTATCTCAGCTGTGAACGTGCAGAACGGCTTGCATCCATAACAGCAGAGAAACATGGCAATCTCCTATCACCTTTGGGAACTGGCAAAGCCCAGGAAGGCAGATGAGCACCCGGAAGATAATGGAAGAGAGGAGAACATATGCAGATGTGTACTGGAGAAGCCAAACATCACACCACGGTTACCTGGGGACAGTGAAAGCTGTGAGGCCCTAGCACAAACCACCCAAATAAACGGCCCGAAAAGCACAGAAGAGGGGAGGAGGAGGACGGGGGGTGGGGAAGTCCCTTAAAGTCTGAAGTCAGATCCTTGAGGAGCACTGGCTGATGGACACCAGAGCCACTTCGCATTCGCTACGCACTTACAACACTGCAGGAGAGAACCACGGAGGTTCCTGCCCGCCGCTTGCAGATCAAACCATTGCTGCTGACGCAGCCGCCAGGACTCGCTCCCCAAAACACTGCCTGACATGCTGGGTACGAAAAATCTGTGAAAAGTCTCAATAAAGCAGCAATCAGCAAAAACTTGCTGTATCACCCGCCACGTAACAATGCAGGCGTAGATTCAACGTGATCATCGAACCACGCTGTTTGAAGTTTCTGTTCGTTTCAACACCCCTTTGGCCAACTCTCCCTGCCCTCCAGTCACGTCACCTACCTTATCTAAACAGTAAAATGGGTTTGGAGGTTTCAGATCAGGGATCCATTAGAAAAAACTTGCATGAAAGATGATAGATAAGTGCAGACGATTATTTTTAGAAAAATATTTAAGCGAGCCCTAAATTAGTTTCTAAATCTGTCCTTACTAAGAGTTCATAATAATGAACTGAGCTGCCTCTGACAAAAGTGAAATTTCTCCCTTTGCTAGATTTTGCTTCAAACTGCACATTTTTTGGAGGACACTGAATAAAGCGTGTCAAGGGATTCTCTGCTCACTTGCTGTCTACTTTGCTAGCGCTTGGGATTCGCAAGGAAAAAAGCCCTGCGTGTGACTTTTCTTAAGGAATTGCTGCTTCTGGTAAAACCTGAAAGGCAGCAACAGTGCCATTATCCTGTGGTATGGTCTGAGGGACTTTACAAAGGCATTTACGGCACCATTTTGCACCAGGAGAACTACAATACAAGCAAAGAATAGAATGTGTTTCTAGACTGCATCATGCTACCAAGCAGGACTATGAGAGATACGGAACGGGATCCAGGTCTTCCTAGTTCATTCCTGGGGTTCAGCACATGGATGGCAACACCAACTCCAAGTCATACTCCCATAGGAAACCAGAAATATAGGCTTTTAATACGCTGGCAATAAGAATGAATTATATTCCCATAAGGAACCAGGAATATAGGTTTTTAAATACGCTGACAATAAGCAAGCTATAAATAACTAAAAATAATTTACTGTTTTAATTTCAAAATTTCTGCAAAAATGTGTTCCACTCCACCGCAACTGGAAACACACAGTTCTACAGCTGAAGCCCTGCCACATCTAGCTGCAACATCATCTGAAAGACAACATGGGAACGCTGGTGGGTTTTTCTACTCTTCACTTACAAACATCCCAGTCCCTCATGTGACATAATGATAAAACCGCTCGCCGTATTTACAAATGACTGAAACAATTTTCCTCTAAAGCTGCTAATCCAAAGCACTGAAGAACATTGTTTGCCATGTACAAACCCACAGCACATTTAGTGAGGCTGCCCAATTGCTAATAATTCCATCCAAAGTCTCCCCTATTGCCTCCACGCTTTTCAATAATTAAAGCAACTTCGTATTGCCAGCAAACGCCTCCTCGACGGCTGCTTGCACCTGCAAACGCTATCGGGGCTCTCTGCTGTTAGCTCGCCTCCATTTGTTAGAGAAACCGTGAGGTTAACTTGAACTCAGTTTTACACTGATCATCATCACTTCATACCTCCTCTACATTTGTTTTCCTCCATAAAATTATGGGGGAAACTTATCAAAAGCATTTCGAAAATGCAGGCAACTCAAGCCCACTCAACTGCATTTACCTGCCATTTTATTAGCCTTTTAGCAAGCTACCCAGCTATCGCTTTCTCCTACAGGGACTACATTAGCTTGACTGTACCAGTCTGTACTTAGCCAAACTTTGTACTGTTCTATTCTTAATCAACTGAATAAAAAAAGATGAAAGCAAGTGGTTTTGTTATTACTGTTATTATTTTTATTATTATTATTCATGGGACATTTGTTTGATAGTCGAAACCACATTTAAGAGCTTTTTGATAACTGTGCCACCTCCATTTCCATTAATCATCTTAAAAGCAACAGTAAAAGTAGATGAACTCTGCAGCAAAAAATTTCTTCTAGTTCAACAATGCAAGTTAAGATTTTTTTCCCTCAGGCCCTCAGCTCTCCCCACCCTTCCCAATCACAGGTGACTGACTTTTTACTTTGTGGAAATAAAGGTAGCAGATGCCCAACTTCTTTTCTATTTGGAGTGAAAGATTACACGGCTGTACCGAGGCTTCTGTATTACAGATTTACATTATAATTATGTATGCACAGAGAAGAAATACATTTGCAGATGGGTATTACGCTGCCACATGCTGTTTCATTTTTGATCCACTGACTTAATCAGTAAAGCACTGCGTAGATTTAAGTAGTAACAATCTTTCACGAGTATGACGCCCGAAATCTCCTTAAGGCGTTGGCGCGCAGCCTTTGCGGCGAGGGGAGCCTGCTGGCTGCGACTTACCACATCGCATGCATGTACGTTGGAGGTAGACGAGGGCTGCTGACAGGGGTACAGTTGTAAGATCTCATAATTCTTTCTGCCAAGAGAAAGTTACGAAATAAACTGGCCACAAGCAGGTCTTGCCTGAAGAGCTTCTGGAAAAGGTCTGCCAAGAGAACGCATGAATTACTAGATGCATATCTTTGAGCACTTCGGGTAGCGTGCAAAAGTAATTTAAAACATAAAAATATGTGAATATGTTATTCCAGTAGCAAGGAATCTACAACAGTTTTGCAGTGACATGATATGACAACTATTAAATGGAAATCTGCCCTCCCAGTTCCCTTAAAACACCGCAGTTACTCTCTCTCCATTAACAGAATTAAATACTTTCTACCTCAGGTTGGTTTTTGCCTTTTCTGGATAAAAAGCTTCTTTTGGTGTTTCACTTAAACTCAGCCTCCCTAACTTTTCGGAAGTTACTGAGGGAGAAAAGGACCTGTGTGTACTATTTAATCAAGAACTATACACCTGTTAACTGGCAGTTTGATGTGCTTATGAGAAGTGAAAATGAATCCTAAAAGATAGCAAATGCACCATCTTTTATAGAGGCAAAGAAGAATTTATGCTGGACTGAGCATCAGAAAGAGCGCAGTTGGAAAACTGTTTACAGATTTTGCCACCCATGCTCCAGAAGTACAAATTCAGAACAGAACAGAGCTAGAGAAACGGGATTAAGTTACTCCCGGGAAACACAGACCGTCTTACCAGCAAAGAGGGAAAAAACCCTTTATTTATCATACTAACAAAGGCTGGAAGAAAATAGATTTCCTTTACCAATACAGTAAGAAAGAAAATTATTCAAGCTAAAGCAATCATGTTAGCACTAGAAAAAAACCCTTTTGGTTTCTAATAATCAGGTTGCTGAAATGCTTCTGGCAGAAAAGAGTGAATGTAAAAAATTTAACTAGCCTTAAGATCCAGTCTGATCTGTTCTTTCAATATCAGGCTTTAATTGTCTCCTTTTTACAGTGTCTCATTTCTCTTACTCTTCATCCTTCTACTGTGAATAAGCAATGCTCACTTCTGATGAGAACTTGATTCACCCACCCGAGCCTTACCTCTAGGCAAGACGTTCCATGCAATGGTGTCCGTGATAGCGGTGAAGATCCAATTCAGCTCTCCCAGGGGAGTTCTCCTGTCATTCAGTCTTCCAGGAATCCTGCAAGTGGGGGGAAAAAACAAGTATGTTTCCTATTAAAACACTTTTTTTTTTTTTTTTTTGAGATACGCACACGTGCACACCTCTAAGCCTCAATCACGGCTCACAAAAGACAATATTTCCAGAACCTTAATTCTTAACCAAGAATTAGTGTTGCTACACAAACTTTCCTTACCCAAAATCCATTACGTTTGAATTTGCTCGCGAGATGAATTGCCAGATAAAGGACAATAAACAAAGAATTGTTTATAGATAACCAAGCTAAAGGAACACATCTGGGAAGATATCACAGAGATGATGCCGATTTCCGAAATGCAACGGAAATGCCTTTTTCTTCAAAAGTGCCACCCTGCTTCATTTTACCCATTATTCACTTCTTGCTGAAATATTTAGTAATAAATACAATTTATATTACAAACTGTATGCTCACAATCCATAATGTCCCTGTGTAAGAACTTCTGAGTGATCATACTCCAGAAAAAAGAACAATGATTGTTTTTTAAACAGTCGGAAAGCTCAGAACAGTTAGAAAACACGGCCCTTTTTTTAAAAATTGCCTGACAGTAATGCACGCACGGCACGGCTCCCTGTTGCTGCAACGCACTGCCCGTTCACGAGGAAACGCGACCCGGTAAGATTCTCCTCCCCGCTCCGGGCAGACCACCTTTTAAGTCGCGATCAGAGCACGCGCGTGCCTGCTACAGGTGCGGCTGCTCACTTCCGACGGGCACGCTTGCGTTTCTTACGAAGGCATGCGGGTTTCACCCAGGAGGTTCTTTGAAAACCTGAATTCATTAACTTAGTGCTTATCCGTCTAGAGATTTGCTGCACTGCCACCAGTACTGCATGCAGGTGCAAATACAGCGTCTTGCTAAAAAAGTTACCGAGCGTAATCAGCTGCTTTTCATTCAAACAGGAGACATTTTCTGTAATTAAGAGCTTTCCAATTAATACACTGGCATTCATGGAAACCAGTAACTTGAATGCCAGTTCCTTAACCTAATTTATGATTAGCATACTGCCCCACAGAAACTCAGCAGCAGAAGACACATTCTTTCTAAATTCTCGAAATGAGGCATTACTAAATCCAGAGCGAAGACGTCGCTTTGAAAAGCGCCTTCTAATGAACAAGCCAAAACGCTGCCGAACGCTGCGCTCCGGAGCCCTCCTGTCGCGAAGTCACAGCAAAACGGAGGCACCACGCTTTACCCCTCGCTGGCTACAGCCAAGATTTGATGCTTGTGCAGGGAAAAGTATTTACTTAATCCAGGTTTCAGCGTAGTGGCAGTCTGCACATGCTGTGTGTGGTCACCTCATAATCTCACCCGTGCGTGCCATGACAGCACCTACATGCCTAGAAAGTATAAAATAATAAACCAAAATTATTTTCTTTCTATTGTGTTCTTCCCCCCCCCGAGAACAAATTCCTTTCCCCTAAAGAGTCGGGGCTGGCAGCGCAGCGTGCGAGGGAAGCGAACAGCAGGCACCGTCGCTGCTGCCGCAAGCTGTTCTGCGACCTTCAGCATCTCGCGGTCTTCCTCCATCTGGTCAATATGCGTATCTACCCAGCCTGCAACTGGGAATGCAGTTTCAGCCCTAAGAATATCAAAATCCTGTCAGCAATACATACCGGGAGTCTATTTGCGGTGTAGTAAGGTACTAAAAATGCCGAGTAGTCCAATTGTTAATTTTATTAAATATTTTAAAGTAGAAAAAAGTGGCACTAATCAATATCAGGGATGGCAGCTTTCCCAATAGCGAGCTACTCCTGTCCCTGCTCATATGCAGGATATGCGGTGACAGTGAGCAAAGGTTTTAGGGGGTTTTTTTTAAGATTATATTTTAGATAGAAGAAAATAAATCATGCAAAAACCTGAAATATTCACACAGACATCCCCTTCCTCAAACAAAGCAAAAGCAGAGGGCCAACCAATGATTCTCCTGGAGATAGTCCAGCTGCATGTTACTTGAGCATTTAATAAATAAATACTTTTACGCGCACTCCCTTAGAGCCAGAGGGCTGTTATAGCATGCACAAGTAGTGTGGGATTGAAATAACATTTTGGTTTGTCACAGCAACAGCCTTTCTGTGACTATACCCATGCACACACCCTCCCCTCCCACGTGTGTGCATATTTTGGCTATAAGATGACTGTGTTTAATACAAGATTCTAAGAAAACCCGAGTCATTAACCTCTCTTCGAAAATAACTGGCATCAGTACACAGGTCCCTTAAATCTTGGATTCTGAAGTTTTACAGCAGTATGCTCACTATGTTCTTAACAGTGAAACCTATAGATAAAAGGAACTCTTTGCTGTAAAATTTCCACGTGGCATGAAGACTCATCAAGCAGTAAAAACCAGAAACAAACCGCAGCCCCCTCCAAAGAAACACCAGTTCCCCTAGGAAAGCCCTATGCATTTAGGGATGGGGATGGACAGGCAACCGAGCACGGATCCTTCCCACAAGAAAGCAGCGCAGCAGCGCGTCTTGTGCAAGGGAGCGAGCAGGGCCAGAGAGGTGATTTGGCATTCATTTAAACTGCTTAAAAACAGGACATGCAAAATATAGAAGGTGCAGAAAAAGCTTAAAAAAAGATAGCGAATGAATATCATACAGCGAGAAATTGAAGGAGGTCATTCCATCTACCCTACCATGGAACAACTTGAACATTGTGGATAAACACCTAAAGAGAGAAAAATCTTGGTGCTAACAAATACTTTACACAAGTGGAGACAGAAAGAAGAGCACTTGACCATTAAAAGAAAGGGAAGCAATTCAATCTTCATCTTTCAAAGGTTCAAGGCATAGACACTTCAGAGGAGCACAACTTACTTGGCTCTGCTGAGAAGTAATGCAGTGGAAGTCTGTAGCCCGACGTACGCAGAAGGTCAGAGCAGACAAACTAAAGTCTCCTCTGGGCTATAACATTTATTGTTCTAAGCATCAATACAAGAGACGATGGCCTGACCGAAGCACATTCAGTGAAGGTGGAACAGCAATGTTCCAACAGGAACCTTGCTGTTCCAGGGTCCAGGATCTTGCTTTTGTAGACTGAAAAAAGTCACTCAAATTTATTTCATCCAGGAGCTGAACCAAGATCTCATGCTGTATTTGTTCTTTTGAAATAAGATGTGAGGTCCAAAGGAACTACAGGACCAACATGCAACCCGATTTCTGTGATTTAAGAGACCAAACCAACTCAAAACCAACATACGCACAACATGACTTAAAGGAAGAAAAGTGGCTGTGAACTGTTCTTTGGTATCGCTCAGCCTCTGCCTCCAAGCTGATCAGCTTTCCTAAGGATGCTTTCTAACGCTTATTTGCTTCTCACAAAAACAAGAAAAAAAGAACAACAACAAAACCCAAACGCCTACCCAACCAACCAACAAACCAAGACCAACAGACTCGGTCCTGGGCTGAGACGCCCCTACTGACAAACACAACCCGGCACTCTCACGCACATCTTTCTTCACCTTGAGAAAGCATCAGAGACGGGATGGGGAAGTTTCAGAAACATGCACCCAACCCGGTAAGACATCCCACGGATTTAACCCTAACGCACCCTAGCTGCCCCTCCGTAACAAGCGTTCAAATATTCAAAGTACCAAGACAAACCACATGAAGCAAGCGCTTTCTGTACGGCAGCTCACCCTTCTGACACGCAGAGCAGAATTATTTCCATGCAGGTTCAGATGAAGCATATTCCCCTGTATAAATACAGTTTCTAAACCAGCTAGAAATTAACATCTTATAAAAAATTCCTGTCTGTCTTGATATCAGAGGAAAAATATACATCTCTGAAACAGCGTTTGTTAGCTGATCCCCCAGAGCAAGCAGAGGCAACACAAGGCCACACAACTGCTCTTGCGAGGATTTCACGTAAATATTTGCATTGCAGAACACCCTCTGCAGCAAAATAGCAGCGTTTCGTAAGTCAGAATGTTATTAATTGGAAACCAAAGCGATCCTTGCTGAGATTCCCCAGCAAGCCAAATGCTGAGCTTAAACCATTTGATGGCCACTTTCAAGCCAGTTTTCAGTGGAAACGGAAATAGGGCGTTGCACGGTAGAGCGCGAATCTTTACACCAGATGGAGAGCTCCGCGCACCGTTGATACCAAATTCTCTTTATGAAATGCAGACTGTGAGCTGATACGTACCTTATT